TTCCTAATTCAAGAATGCTTTGTCTTGTCCTTTATGAGCCTTGCTTACATTAATTTTCATAGAAACCACACAACTGCGCATTTTCTCACACGGTCCTGCCCTTGCACATAGCTTGCCTTTACCCCAATTGATTAGTAGCAAAAATCAGTGGCTTGGACAGACCAGTGCCTTTTGCTAAAGTACCATTGGCAGTCCTGACTCCCTGGTATTCTTTTTTTTTTTTTGGTACCGGGGATTGAACTTGGGGCCTTGCACTTGCAAGGCAGGCGGCGGCACCAGAGCTAAATCCCTGGGCCTGGTTCCCTGGTATTCTGCCTCTCTTAGTTCTGTCTTTTAGGTTTCTTTCTCAGGCTTGGGTGGTACACTGCGCAGGAGACTGAAGCCTACTGCAGAGGTTTCTGGTAACATTTCAGGGGTCCCCAGGACTTCACTATATTTTTTTATCATACCTCATAAAGACACTCACAAAAGAGAGCTTCCAGAACTGTTTCAGAAAGTGGCAAGAATGATGGGATGAGTTTGTTCAAAATGAGGAGGAGTATTTTGAGAGGGATTAATGACAATGTAGTTTTTATTTAAACAATTTTAATATGTATCATATTTTTCAATCACTCATATTAATTTCAACTGAGAAATAATAGTTGTGTATATTTATGGGATACAATGTGATATTTTGATCTATATATTGTAGAAAGAGTCAATGTAATGAACATATCCATCACTGCACCAATATATCATATTTGTGGTGAAAATATTAAAAATCTATTCTTTTAGCAATTTTGAAATATAGGATGCATTATTATTAATCATGGTCACCATGCATTTTCCCTTTGTACCCTTTAATTAACGGTCTCATTTCCCCATTCCTCCTATATATACAATCTTTGAAGAGGTAATAAAAGGGGAAAGAGGTCATATGGAGAGTGCTAATCCACACAGTCTGATGTCCCCCTAAAAATAGGAGTTAGAAAGCTGGGCATGGTGGCACATCCCTGGAATCCCAGCACTTGGAAGGCTGTGGCAGGAGGATCACTGCAAGTTTGAGTTCGAGGCCAGCTTGGGCTACATAGTGAGTTCAAGGACCACTTGGACTACACAGAAAGACCTTGTCGCAAAAACCAAACCAAAAAAAAAGAGGAGTCAGGACACAGATAGGTACAAAAGGAAGACCATGTGAAGACACAAGGAGAAGACAGCTATGTATAAGCCAAAGAATAAGACTGCCAAGCCTGCCAAACACTTTGATCTTAGACTTCCACCTTCTGGGGCTGTGAGATTGAAAGCTTCTGCATTTAGGCCACCTATTCTATGGCACTTTGTTACAGCAGAGAAAGTCACCTGCTAGTGCTGGCAAAGGAAGTGAGAAAAAAATAAAGAAATCCAAGTAAGGGATATTTTCGAGCCAGAGAATAGAGGATTCAGATAAATTGTGAAAACTCAAACATTGTGTTGGCTCAGATCCATCACATGAATGAGGCTACCATATGCCTATTCCAGAAACAAGCAAAAATGATTTCTGAAGCTGTTTTGCACTCAAGATAATAACACAGTGAAAAATGAGATGTTACTTTCTCACGATAAAATAATGGTGTTCTTTAGGCAAAATTGATCAAAGGTCTCAAGATGTATGGCCCTACAGGAGCTAGGACTGGTGTTTTGTAACTCCTCCTGCACCATGTGTAGAAGGCAAGAGCTCAGTCATGAGCCCTATTACTTGAGGGCTAAATGAGAATGAGAGCCCGGGTCAGGAACCACATCAGATGCACCTGTAAGTCTCTCAAAGACAGACTCAGGGCTGCCTCCTGGGAGATGGGTATGGTGTGTGCAGAGGAAGCACCTTCCCCAGGCTGAGGCAAAGCCACTGGGCACCTTAAATGAAGCAGAGGGAAGAAGGAATTATTGGGAGACCAGATAGTACACACACAGGAGCATTTGTTCTTGAACAATCTAGATATCTCTTTCATTGTAAAAGTTGATGTATAATTTTCTCTAACTAGGCAGCAATGTCAGCATCTGTTATTAAGCATCTGTTAGGACCAGGTATTTTATATCTATTCTCACACCCTCTCTGTGAGAATAGATTATTAACTTATTTCCAGCTGTGGAAACTGAAAACAGAGAGATTGAATGATCTGCCTAAAGACACACAGCCAGGAAGAGGCCCAGAGGGAATTCAAACCTGCCCATGTGAGGCTGGAGTTCTGCTCTTTGTACCACACTGACTTCCTGAAGATTCCCTCAGACTTTGGAGACCAGGATTTATTAGTTTTGAAACAAATGGGTCCTTCACAAGCCATATAAAGCTTACATGAAAGCAAAATAAAGTATTATGCTAAACAATTCTTATCTGGAACATGCTGGAAACTTCGAGGATGAGTGTGGTAGTGTAGATGTTGAATCAGGCATCCAGAGGCTACAGCTCCAGCTGGAGCTCAGCATTATGAGACCTCTAGCCAGTCACGAGGTGCCTCACTTCACCAGGTGCATCCCTCACCCCAGTTTCCAGTGTGCACACAAAATCCATTGGGAAACAGAAAACCTTATAGTTCCCTCTGACTACTGTCCTTGGGGCTGGGAGTGTAACTCATCTGTCTTCTGCCATGTGAGGACACAGCAACAAGGCATGATGTTGGAGACAAAGAGTGGCCCTTACCAGACACCAAACCTGCCAGTCCTTTGATCTGGTCTCAGCAAGAAAGATCCCATTGGTGAGAATGTAAATTAATACAGCCATTATGGAAGTTCCTCAAACCATCATGGAAATCAGTATGGAGATTTCTCAAAGAACTGAAACTAAAAATTCCATATGACCCAGCTATTTCCCTGCTAAGTATCTTCCCCAAAGAGCTTAAGACATCATGCTATGGGGATACATCCATACTAAAGTTTATAGCAGCACAATTCATAATAGCTAAATCCTGGAAGCAGCCTGTATATCCATCAACTGGTGAGTGGGTAAAGAAAATGTAGTATCTATATATAATGGAATACTACTGGGCTATAAAGAATGACAGATTTGAGACATTTGCAGAAAAATGGATGCACCTGGAAAATGTAATGTTGAATGAAATAAACCAGACACACAAGCTTAAATATAATACAGTATTTCTCATTTGAGTGAAGCAAAGTACAAAGAGAATGATAAAGGATGGATAGAAGGGGACAAGGAGGTGGATCTCTTGCAATAGGGAAGTGGTCCAAAGGAACAAATGCGAAGGGTGAGGAGGAGGGGAAGGGGAAATAAGTAGAATAAAGATATGCCATGTACAAGAACCTAGTAACCCCAATTAATGTAAATATTATATGCCACACATAAGCTACGTTTAGTAATATCAACAAGAATGAAAAATGGAATAGGAGAATTGGAGGAGGAGGGATTTAAAAAAAAAAAGAAACAAGCTGTGGTATGTACGTACATGTAACCACACCCCGTGATGATTGTAAACTACATGAACTGCAAACATTCATTATTAAAATTAAAAATTAAAAACAATTTTCTGTGAAGACCAAAGAAATCAAATACTTTTAAGATTTCTTTTAGTCCTACATCCTATTGCTTATCTTTGCCAACGTCTATCCATTCCCTAACAGTGATTAGTTACAAAAACTTTTACAATTAAATTTAAAAAGAAAAAAATTAAAGGACCTCTGGATAGTTGGACAAATATTGTCATGCTCCCCAGATTGTCTTGGGATTAAAGCAAATATATAAATTCAAACAAGTTGTAACAGATAAAGAAAAACAACAGTGCCTGAGCCAGACCCCTGGCGCTTCAGAGGAGGAAGATAGGGCTGCATAGGGAGTTAACCCAAGAGAGAGGACCTTCCTTTTCCACTGCTAGACACTTCACTTCCCTCTGCTCTTAACAACAGCCAATCACCTGGGGAAAGGCATGATTCATCCTCTCCAGGGTAGAAGAGAATAAAAGACATCATTGAGGACAGTGTTGATAAGAATAGGAGAGATAATGGAATTGTGGAGCAGAGGATGGGTAAAAATGCCACTAGAGAAGAATGAAGACAGAGATAGGAGAGGGCAAGGAGTTGCCATAAGGACAGTTAACTCTTTTCCTGGCCATAGCCCAGGGCCCCATCAGTCCCCTGGAGTCATTGAGCTTCCAAGGCTCAATGTGGCACTTTGGGCTGCTGACCTTCTGGGATGTCACTTCCTTTGTTACTGCTGAAGGATGCTGTCCACACGAAGAGCCCATTATCCACTGGAGAAGAGTAAAAGCCAGAGTGGGAGGTGAATGCAGGCAAGGGAGGAAAGTGATGGGGAAGGCTGAGGGCAGCATCTGTGTGTTCCTGGCTCTCCTTGCCCCGGGGACATCAGTAATTTCGGATTCCAAGGAAGTGAGAGCATCCTGTAACTCAAAATGGCTTCTTGGAATGATCCTAACTTAGTTCCCTAAAATCCAGATTTCCTAAGGCAGGTGTCATGGAAGTATAGGGCTGCTCCGGGCTTCCTGTCTGGCAACTTCTATAAGCAATGCAATGATGCCTCTCTTCACAGCTTCATGGTTGCAACTTAGGTTCTCAACATACTTCCTGCAGGTCCCTGGAAGATCTGTTACTCAAGAGAACTTAACACAAGGTGCAAGCTTTAGGTTTCATTTCTCTCAACAAACAATGAAATGTTTCACTCACAGGAGGCTGGGGAAGCCAGATATAAAAAGCCATTCCAGTCCCATTCTGAAGGGTGGCAATGGCAGGTGTGGGGTTGCAGAAGTGCAGCCCATGGCTTTAAAGTACCTGTGTAAGTTCAGTGCTATGTGGAGAAATGTTTTAGTAGAAAAATGAGACAAGTCCCCGGCTGCATTTTCAGAGCCCTCAAAGTTCAGTAAGAAGAGGACAAGAAATCCTAGACAGTCCTCCCTGCCATCACCAAGAGAACCTTCAGAGCTTTAAATGGCAGCCAGAATATCATTCAGAATTATCACCTCTCCTGCCAGAAAAAGTAGGCATCATCCCGTAGTTCTTCAACAGTCCCAGGGACCTACCTCTGAGTTCTCTCTCCCAGATAACCCACGAAATATTTTTGCCTCACAAACAAGTACATCAGTCCAGCAAAGGCAGCAGGAACTAAGAGGAAAAATGAAAACACCTAGGTTAGTTTCACAGACACCCAAATATGCTTTCTAAGCACAATAGCAATGCAGTCATTGAGTGATCATCGCTGGCCAAAAAATCTAGGAGAGCCACAGATTCTGATGGCGGAGGCTGGCATAAACTTCAGATAGAAACCAAAGGACTGGAAGAAGCTTAAGAAATTTAAAGATCATAGTATTACCTTATACCAGCCTCATGGTGTGGTTTATGAAGTTTCTATCTTCCAGCTAATGTGAGTCCTTTTACCATAACAAGCATCAACGTATGTTTCTAGACGTGGAAGGCTGGGCCCAGGTGGTCATAGGGGCTTGTGAGAAGCTGTCAGCTGGTAAGGAAGGGAGGGCGGGACTCGAACCCAGACTCCTCCCCTGAGGCTCTTGAAATCACATCCTGTACTTCTGGGGTTTCCAACAAAACATGCTCCCCCTCTTCTGGACAGTTGGTACTGTTTTTAGAAGGTGTCTCAGAAAGGAGATTCTGTACCTTCCCATCCCTTAAGAAAGATTCCCAAGCAGCATACCAGGGACTTCAGGGAATCCTGAACTTAGAGTTGAAAGCTGGAAAATCCAGCTCTCCCAGGAGTAGTGTCATCTGGTGTTTGACTCATTTTGCATATGGACAAAGAGCTGATTACAGCTTTTTTTTCCTACTAGGAATGAGTGAGAATGAAATTGGGCCCTAGATATAAAAGCAGTTTGAGAGCCTTCAAGCATTATTTAAATACCAAATTAACTGCCACTGCTGATTACTTTTTACATACCACTTGCCTCCCTGGCACTCAGGAACTTGGGTCTGCAAGCCTCCCAGACACCTGGTAGGAACATTTTACTGTCACCATTTGACAGAAGAGGAAATTAAGCTCAGACCAAAAGATTCATGAGGACAGCTGTCTCTTCCTAGATCACCTTTGTGCCTGGCACACAAAGACTTTCAAAAAATTTTTGTCAGATGAATGAAAAAGTCGAGCAATAATTGCAGAAGTGGAATTTCAAGCCAGGTCTTTCTGATTTCAAATCTTTATCACCATCACTAGCAGCATCAATAACAACATTTACTGAGCTTGTTAAGTTGAACCATACAAAACTGCCATTTTTGTGGGTCATAAACAGTCAGACAGTGGCAGTTATAAGGCCTAGTCTGATACATGCCATGCACTGTCAGGGTGTCGTGCACATTGTCTCCATTATGTCTCCTAGGAACAGTAGAAGGTCCACAGTTGTCCTGTTTTACAATGAGGAAACTGAGGCTCAAAAACCTGAGTAATAGCCCACATTAGCAATGGAGTTGCTGGATTTGCTTTCAATCTGTCAAGTTCCAAGACCCAGTTTGTTCCATAGCTCCTCTTGCCCTCCAAAATACTGTTGTTTCAGGACAAGGAAGAAAATAGCGGCACGTAAGAAACTGTGTGGTTCATCCTATTTTCTGAAAGACACAAGACTGTCACAATCTATGCTTTGCCTCAAAGTCATTCCTGGGTTTTGTCACTTGGGTGGCTCTGATCTGACTTACTGGCCCATTTTTCTTTCAATGGCAAATCAACTGAACATGAGCTAATAGAAATCAGCAGAGAAAGGCTCCATACCCATTGTCCTTCTATGGAGGATGACAGGGATGCCAGTGGGTACCTGGGCCACCAGGAGGTGACAAATCCAGTTCTACAAGTCTAAAGTTTAAGCAAGCCACGTGGGCTCCTGCTCAGTAAAGTGAGGCTTTGAGCTAGAATGATTTCCGTGACTCCTTTCAGCTGAGAAACTCTACCATCTGGTATATTCATAAGCAATGACAATTACCAACCAGCATTAACCAATGCACTTGAGCTCAGCAATGCCAATATTTATTTTGACAGGATATGCCAATGGTTCTTTTGACAGACTCTAAGTACCTTCAAGCTTCTTTTGTATTTATCTCACTAGAGCCACTGCAGATTCATCTCAATCAAGCATCATCTAGGACATAAAGTGAGCCATAACTTCTAGTATGAGTGGAGTTTGACTTGATTTTTCAAGTAACACTAGACAAATTTCTCATTTCACTCAGGACAAAAACTGGAAAATAGTGAGCTCTCTGGCATCTTCTATGCACAGAAGGTAGTGATGTGGTGTTCCTGGCCTCTGTCCTTCATGATATGTCTGACTCTTGGCAACAATGTGTCCAGTTATCCACTTTTCTAGGCTCCATCTTGCCAACCAGTCTGTGTTTCACTTCTATCTCTGTCTTATTTATTCCTGTATATCTAGGCATGGGACTTGCATATAGTAGGTGCTCTGTGTATACTTATTATATAAAGAAACAAAGTAAAAGGATACTTGTGAAAAATCCAAAATTTACTGGAACAGGAAGACAAGGGCTCTGATCCTACCTCTGCGGCTCACCAGTCAAGGAACCTTGAATAAGTGAATTCATCTTCCTGAACTAGAGTGTACTCAAAGGTAATGAAGGAACTAATATCCACTCTGTATACTTTACCGAGTGGGGAGAAGATGGTGAGGATTAAACAGTTCATCAGAGAATTGTTTGTGGCCATTTTATGTAGGCCCTGCTGATCCACAAAAGCTGGCCTGTTCACTCCAAGCTGCCACCAGACAGATGCCAGCTGTGGCCAAGCCTGTCTCGTGTTAAATCTCCAAACAAGTTTAAATTATATGCCTCTGGTTTCCATTCAATTTTAATCAACTCTGGGAACTGATCTGTTCTTCTGACTCATTGAAGTCAAGACTGTGGGCTGCTGATAACCCTGGGGTAGCTGGGGACCTGGAATCCAGCCCATGGCTCCACGGACACATGCCTGAAAGAGCACCACCATCCCAGGAGCTTATTAGCAGAAGAGCCAAGAGACAGCAGTCCTGGAATAGATCCCTCAGGCACTCTCATTTATAATGCCCTTGTATCTGAGCTAACACTACTTGTGGATTCTGAGTCACATTTAGCCTTAAACCACCCTTGTCAGTGAGCAGCTCTCAACCTGCCACTAGGGAGCTCGCATTAGCAATGCATTATCACCTTGCGCTGCTCTGCACTGCACGGAGCATGCCTGCAGCCCAGCCTCACAAGGGCTCTCACCTCCCCAGGGCGGCACAGCTCTGAGCTGGAAATCAGGCAAAGTCTTTTCAGCACAATACCCACCCTTTGAACTTCCCTGAGATGCACATTATAGAAAGAGAACACACAAAGTCAAGTCCGAGTTACCTTGGCTGCAAAGAAGCCCCGCAGTCCAAAGCACCGCAAGGAATGTAGGGTATGCGTCTACACAGTTCTGGCTGTAGGATAAACAAGGAGGAAAGAAATCAGAAAAGCACGTTGCTGCAATGTGGTCTGAAAATGAATTGAAACCCTGAGTTAATAATCACCGTTGCGCAAGGTCCACACAGCCCCACTCATCACTCTACTTCCATCTACCCAATAAGACAGGCAGCCAGCCACCACACTGGCAACAGACAGCAGCGGGAAGCAAAGTCGTGTTCAGAATCCATTAACTCTCTTCCCATGGTGAAACTGATGGGAGGCTTGGTTTCTTGATGTATTCACTTTGGCAGGGTTTCTGTTCCTGGCAGTGCCTGTGCACTTCTTGGAATTAAAAAGTGAGCAATGCAGACAGCAGGGTGCGGTCATAAGCAAGGCAGGGTGGCAGAGGAGAAAAGCTCAGCTAAGGTAATGTCATACATACTGATCCACCCACATCTGCAAGCCAGGTTGAGAAAGAAAGTGATCTTCATGCATTAAGGAAGCCAGGATCCATTCACAAAACTGATGTGGAAAGTTAGCTCGCTGGTGGTGCCATCAATGTGTGCCTGCCACAGTCCTTGCCCCCCTGAGGGCGGGGGTTCACTCTAGGCATTGCACTGATGTTTTCACCCATCATCTCTTTTACACTCACCATATTCCCATGAGTACACAAGGCAACTGTATGAGTTTCCTCCTGCTATTGTAACAAGTGGCCATAAACTTGGTGGTGTAAAACAATACAAACACATTTTGCACAGTTCTGGAGATCCAGAGCCTCAAATGGATCTCCCTGGGCTGAAACCAAGGTGTGAGCAAGGCTGTATTGCTCTGGAGCTCTAAGGGAAAGTCCAATTCCTTGCCTTTCCAACCTAGTATTCCTTGGCTCATGGTCCCTTCCAACACCAAAGCCAGAAATGGCTGATGGAGTCTTTCTGTTTTCTTAGGAGGGAAGGCAGAGTCAGGAAGATGTTGAAGTTGTTATTGCTGCTTTTGCAGTAATGAAGATAGAACCCAGGGTCTGGAGCATGCTAGGCAAGAGCTGTACCACTGAGCCACACTCCCATCCCCAATCTTCCTGGTGTTAAATCGTTTCTGCCTCCTTCCTCCCCATTTGAAGGACCCTTGTAATTACACACAAGTCCTACCCAACTAATCCAAAATAATCTTTATTTCAAGGGGAACTGGTTATCAGCCTGAATTCTTCCTTGCCATAAAACAAACTCATAAGTTCCCAGGGCTAGGGATATGGGCAAGTATGGAGGGAATGCAGTACTTTTCTTCCTACCACAATTCGGCTAATGTTTCAGAAAAGAATCTGAGGCTCAGAGTGGCAGAATAACTTGCCCAGAGTCTCCCAACCAGGTAAAGCCAGGTTTATACCTGATCAGTCTGTCTCCAAATTCAGGCTGTTAACTCTTTGACTATACTAAATTAAACAAATATGCTCATGAGGAGTTTGCAGTCTAGATCAGAGCAATACATGGGCAGTAAATATGGAAAAGCAACAGAACAAGATATGAAAGGGGCAATGGGACATAGCAGAAAGGGCACTTGACTAGGACTAAGTCCTCATGCTGTCTTTAACCAGTTTTTCACTATTGGCAAAGCAATCTTTCCAGACTTAGTTTCCTCGTCTGTAAAACTAAGAGACTGAAAACAACTCTGAATCCAATGAAGCTCTAGGGGTTGATGGTCTAATGTGGGGTGTGTATTACTTCTGACCAGCAGCATCAGCATAACCACCTGAGATCTTGTTGGACAGGCAAATGTTTGTGCCCATCTCAGACCTACAGAATTAAAAACTGAGGAAGGGGCTCAGCAATTTGCATTTTAACGAGTCTTCTAGGCACCTGAAGGCCTGAAGTTTGAGGATCAAGGTTAATGGGCTCAAATTATATAGGTAAAAGTAAAGATAGGATTTTCAAATTGCTTTTTTTAACTACTACCATTGAAAACTTACTATATGCTCTTTGGATATGGAAAGTGTGCCTTCAAACACTGTCCATATTATGTTAGAAGTTTGGTCTCCAGAGTAACCCTACTGAGCAGTGCTATACACCTTCTTAGGGAGTGAGGCCTAGCGCGAAGTCCTTAGGTCACTGAGAGTGCAAAATAAAAGACAAATCATAAGAAGTAGGGAAATAAATTTTTTGAGAAAAGAAAGGGGACCTGGAGATGGAGGAAGAGGGACAGGAGGGGAAAGGAAGAGGGAGGAAGGGAACATAAAAAGAATTATGTTATGTACATTTATCAACTCTCCACAAGAATGCAATCATTACATATTACAAACGTGCTAATAAAAAAAATATTTTAAAAGAATTGTAGGAGATCCCACCTGAGTGTTCAAAATTTCCCTCTCTATCTCCCTCCCCCTCCCTCCCCCTCCCTCCCCCCTCCTCCTTCCTGGCTTCACAAATGAACACTCACTCCGACGTGTGTGTCAGGTATTTCATTATAGTTATGGAAAGCTGCTAATACATCTGGAACCAGCAGCGCTTGATTCATACACTGCAGAGACCCTGAGAGATTGGGCTGTCTTTGCCTGTCCACAGGGACCGTCATGCCCCTCTGATGGCCAAAAGAGCCTTTCCTGGAGAAGTCAGTGAATGCAGTAGGTGAGAAACCCATGCATCCTGTTCTGGGAGACAGGCACAGCCTGAGCCAGGCATGGACAGAAGGGATACACCTGGTGGCCTTGAATTTTCACTGATCCGGTAAGAACTCCAAGGGGCAGGAGGCCCTCATGAGGAATCTATTTGGGTGTCATAGTTAGCAAATAAACCGTGCAAAGTTTCAATTATGCACCAGCCTCACTTGTATTCTTATCCATTAGTAGAGGAACAAAATTACAACCTCGGGGCTAAGAAAATGTGATTCATTTCCCAGCTCAAGAAAACTAGAGAAGAAACTCCTTTTTCAGTTGGTTGTATAACGTGTTATGCCAATAGGATATAATATCTATGCTCTTATAGTTTGAAAAATCTATTAATACCAAAGACTTTCCCCTACTTCCTCCTCAATCTCATGTTTCTGAGTCTTTCTGTTTGTTTTTAAGCAGTGATATTTTCCCTGGGTGATGCAAAAGGGAAATAAATCCTTATTTGTCTAGGAATTTTCTCATTCAAGAGAACTGTTCAGTGATAACACTGAATTGACATTCTTATTATTTCAAGTCACCTCGGGTCCTAATAAAACATGGTCTGTCTGGAGTTGAGAGAAACTCTCCAATCAGAGAATGGACTATTTCTTGGGATTTCCAGAATATTCTGAGTCTTTTTTTCTTTCTGAGCCTTGTTCATCAAAGTGGTTCAAGCCTGTCCTTCAGTGTGGCTCAAGCCTGTCCCTCTTCCCATTCAGGATTTCTAGCACACTTACCATTCCAATCTCTAAGCCTCCCAATACCTTGGGGCACTGCTGCTGGGCTGAATTCAAGAACCTTTGGACAGTGGCACAGCTGTGCCCTGTCATGGAGCTACATTGCTACTCATGAGTTCCCACAGCCCAGGCCCAAAGCCGAGGCTGCCACTTGGCTATGGGAATGCAGGTATTTTTCCTAGCCTCACAGAGCCTCTGTTTGCTCAGCTGTAAGATGAAGGGAGACCTTTGTAACTTCCAGGCTGGGCTATTGTGAGAACACAGTGGCAGGAAGCTCCGTGTGGCTCACAGGAATCATTCAGTAAATGGTAGCCATTGTTGCTTCTGTATTTTCCCTCTTCCCCCAGTGGAAATGTCTTTTTCTAATGACATATTATTATTATTATTACGAATTTTCTTTTAGGAAGTTTTGTGCCATTTTTCTGCAAAACAACTGACAAATTCATTTTGATTGACATTTCTTGAGTTCTAAATAGGAGCTGCTTAGCAAATTTTGCAATAATTTGCTGTGTTATGTTCAATTTGATGTCTTACACTCATCCTGTTTTTATGGAGAAAGAAGCTCATATTATTTTCCTTTTCATTTTTCTCCACCTCTAGGAATACAATAAAGGAGTGCTCTAATGTTCTTTTAATCAGTTTGGATTAATTCAGAATAAAAAAAAATGAATAACAGTCAATAAATAGTATCAATACTAATCCATAGGGTCATTGTACACCTATCACCTTACCTTCAAATAACTGTACAAGTCTACTCTACTTGAAATTGAGGCTACAGTGGGTGCCAATAGACGCAGGAGGAAAAGTGACATTAGGGTTCAGTTCCTCAAAATGTAGTTTAGAAAAAAAACAGGAGGTGGAAACCATTTGTGGTTAACTAAGACAACCCCTTTTAGAGATGCAAGAATCAGAGTGTCCCTTAATATGCCATAGGCTCTCAAAAGTCAGGCTATTAAGAACTTATCCTTCCCTGTAACACTTATTAATGACTCCTGAAGTTGGAATCCATAGGACACATTTCAGGAAATTACACATCTCCAGAGACCCACTCTCTTTTCTATATTCACAAGAAGGACCTTTGGGTCAGCTAACTGACCTAAGGATTTTTCTCCAAAACAAAACTCTGACCAAGGTTGTGTTTGTCCTCTGAGAACAGGACTGAACTGCACTTTGTACCTGTGGACAGGGAATCAAGTTCAGCTCTTCTAGGCTCTCCACTCCTGACTCAGTGCTGCCCTCAAGGGAGACAGATGATGGAACAGGTCAGCGATCAAGGCCCAATCTGAGCTGATGGATCAGGCCAGCTGGAATGTCTGTTAATCCCCTGCCTCAGAACCTCCAGCTCTCTATATCTGTCAACAGTCATATTTTATGCTGAAAAAAAATGCATCCATCCACTAGTATCACTTATTCTTTACATTTTTCTTTCATACCCAGGGCATCTAAACATCTATGATCCCATATCCTATCAACCAATGGTTTTGATCATGAAACTCTGACAGATATATTTATGTATAAATTATATATAGTACATGTGCTGCTGTCAATCTGGTTATTTAAAATGAGTTCAGCTTCACTTCTTATGCTCTGGATAACAAGATTAAATACATGCTCTTTTCCTCCTGCACTCCCATAGACATCTTGCATCCCTTTCTGTCATTTTTAAGGCCCTTGAAGAAGCTATTGCTGGGGACAACGTCCACTAGAACAACACAAAACCCCTTCCCAGGAGTCTCCTGGCACAGGCAAACAGCCTGGGTGCCTCTGGCTCTTGCCAGCATGTGGTAGTCTGCAGCATTGATCCCTAGCCCTTTTTACAATCCACACTGTCACACATACGCCATTGTTGGGCCAGAGAGGAAGTGGTGTTTTTAACAGAACCACAGCAGTGTCTGAGCAACTCTACTTCTTAGTTCTGCTCCCCTCCCCTTACTTCTGCGATCTCCCTGCAATCTCTTCTCTTCCTTCATTCTTCTTCTGCCCCCTCATGGGAGCTAAGTGGCAAAGACATGGGGCTTGCAAACTGGGTTGCAGCTCCCACCCAGTGGGGGCCCCTAAGTAGCAAGAATCGATTATTCCTTACTCCCCTCATGTGCATTCTTACCTCTGGAACCCTATGCAATTGCAGAACTTCCAAACCACCTTCCCAACCACCAGACAAAGTGAACTTCTGCAACTTAGAGGTCGATAGCCAGTGAGGCCAGGTGTAAGCACATTGGCTTCTTAGAAACAGCTCTTTTACTCCTGGGGACAAGTGATAGAAACAGAACAATCCAGCCTGCCCCATTTCTTGTTCATCACCAGCAAAACAAAATCTTAACTTCTAAGAAGATACAGTGAAATTCCACTGTGACTTCTACGAAGTGGAGGAGCTAGACCATGAATAAGAATGCTGGTGGTAGGGCAGGGGACTTAGCTCAGTGGTTCAGCCCCCTGCCTCGCAAGCAGAAGGTCCCGAGTTCGATCCCTGGTACCAAAAAAACAAAAACAAAAAAACAAAAACAAGAATGCTGGTGGTATATATCTGTAATCCTAGCACTTTGAGAGGCTGAGGGAGGAAGACCACAAGTTCAAGCCCAGCCTAGGCAATTTAGCGATTTAATAAGACCCACTCTTAAAATAAAATATAAAAGGGGCTGGGAATGTAGCTTAGTGAGAAGACCCTAGGTTCAATCCCCAGTGATGCAAAAAAACAAGATGTAGTATCATAGTGGGGGTGCAGCCATCTCAGCTGGACATCTGGACAGGAGGCGGCTCCTCTTCCAGAATGGTTATGGTTTCTTTGGATTCCAATTTCAGAGAGGTTTTGCTTGTAGATGTCATCCCTGATAAGACACCTTCTTTACAGCTCTTGCATCCCCCCAAAAAGCTGCCAGGAAGTTGGTAGCAGCCTGCATGTTTCCCCTATAACTTGCCTGTTTTCCCTCCCTGTCCCCTAATGGGTCCATAATGTCTCTTAGACCACATTTTTAAATATCTTACATTGATTCTAAGAGTGAACACCCCCCAAGGCCCAGGTGTTAAGATAGAAATCTCCCTGTGGGTCATTCAGCCAAGGATTTCCTTGCGCTCTGGTTGCTGGGATAACCCTATGCAGGAGTGCCTGCTGGGATGCGTGGGGGAATAGAGCAGAGCATGTAGCTGGAATGGAAGGCACAGGGCCTGGGGGTGTCTGGCGAGGCAGTGTGAGCACTCAGGAGTGGCCTGAAAAGGCCAAATGCCCAGAGAGAACAAGGTCCCAGGACATCAGCCCATGACATCCCTACCAATATGTCCCTGAGTGGTCCAGACAAAGCATACAGTCCTTTAGAAGTTGAGAGAGAAAGGGGCCAATAATTTAAAAAATGCAGTGAGGAAGACACTCCCAAAATTCCCCCAACACCTACAGGTCAACGAAAGCATACACACCACCTAAGTGAAGTAAAGGACCGAAGAGGAGGCAGCTGGGGAGGCCAATGTGGAGCTGTCCCAGCAAGCTCCCTTGGAATTGGTGCATCCCACAAGAAGCCAGCAGTGGCAGGAGGGGCACCTTCCCTCCAAGCTGCCTTCCTAGACTGGGCAGGACCCAGGCCCCCTATCCTGACTGGTGAGTCCTCATCCCTCAGTTTGTGTGTGCTGTTATTGTCATTCTAAACACACTTTCCTTGGTGGCTCTGACTTCCCTTTGGAAAGAGCTCTGGGGACCTCAAAGTCACCTCTGGGCTGGAGCTTTGCTCCCTGGTAGCTCCACAGCATGGAGCCTGCCTTCCTACCAGTCCTCCGGTCATAGGGAGGAGAAGCAGCTCCACAGCCCCTGACTGCTCCACTGAAATACATTCTGCATAAAAGAAAAGCATGTGTTTGAATAACAGCCTTTCGGATTTGCATCTCAAATAGATCACAGCCCTCTTCCCTGAGCTGTTCAGATGTTTTCAAACAGCTTTTTTATTCCAAAGCAAAGACTGAGAGTGGGAAATCATGAAGGTATAAGGGCCCATTCTTCCTGAACTTATTCTAGTAGCTCATCTGAGACTGCCACCCCAGGAAAGAAAGCAAGAGGATGAGCGGAAGGCCATTGTCAGTGCTGTTCCCTGGCTTCTGGAGCAGCTGATGAGTCAGGGCTATTTTTCACCTCAGCGTCTCCAGATTGAGCCCACAGGAAGCTGGTCAACTCCCCCTCCTAAAGGATGGTCTCAGATCTTTCTGGAACTATGGAGATCACTACCCCGCCCACTTCCTTTCTGCTGACACTCACACTCGCTGAGATGCTGAAGGGTGTCCACAAAGTCTCCCAGGAGAAGTCCCACCTGCAGGAACCCACCTCCTGGGTCCTCTGAAGGTTGGCCCAGCCAGACATGTGGCCTTGAAGATCTCCACTCCCGCAAGGAGGTTCCCCATGCACCCATCCCCGCCCTCTCAGTCAACAGTTCCAGGGGTTGGACTTACTTGGCAGTGTAGACGCGCTCAAAGGCAAGGGTACCAGTCCTCTGGAAGCTCCTGCCATTCTGGGTCTTGCTTTCATGCTCCACCTTGTGGGCAAAGAACGCTGCCAGAGGGAAAAGTGTGTATTTGGTTCACATCAGGCATGTTCAGGAGTCCACGGTTTTATTATAAAAATTAGAACAATACTTCCTTGAACTGATCTCTAAATAGCCTTAAATGTCCTTCATCAAATGTCACTTAGCAAAAATACATTCAGCAGCTGCTCTCTCCCCATCATTGTTTGGTGCTGAAGATACAAGAATGCGAAATATAGAGCCCTTGCTTTAAGGATCTCACAGTCTAAAGAAATAAACAAAGAAGTACAGCGGAGACCATCATGTTAAGATGAATCGTCGTGAGGACACGGTGCCGTCAAGGGTCAAAGGAGGCGGCTTCCTTCATGTTTGGGTCACAGAAGGATTTCTAGGGGGAATGATGTTTCAGACAAAACCTGAAGAACAAGTAGGAATTAGCCAAGCAGATGAAAGAAGCAGGGGACAAAAAAAGAGGAGATCACGCTATTCCACTGGAAGAGCACATGTAAAGGTCCAGGGCAAGAGCTGCTTGTGAAAAAAAAACACTGTTTGTGAATCTAAATGTCCAGCTTAGGTCATGGGAATGGAGAGGATTGGGGAGCAGGACCCAGTAGAACTACAGATGAGGCCAAAGGGGTGGGCAGTGAGCTATTCTTTCAATGACGTGTCAGTTATCTCTTGCTTTACACTGACACTTAGCTTCCATCTGAGAATAAAGCAACCAAAGAGCCTTGGCCCAAGGAGATTATGTTCTGGCAAGGACAGTGGAGGAGCAGACAGATCATGCATGGTAAACAGAATACATAAATTAAAATTAGACAGTGTATTGAGCTAGGGATGAAAAAGAAAGGAGAACCAGGAAAATCGCCATCAGGGTGTGCGGTAAGATGTGCAGAGTGAACTTCAATGAGAAAGCAAGACCTGGGCCCTGGCTGAAGGTGGTCATTGAGAAATGCCCTCTGGGCCTACCAAAGTGGCTGTGACCTTCAGGGGAGCCATGTGGAAGCATTCAGAGCTTATTCTCTTTGTGAGCAACAAGGAGCTATTGCAGGGCTCGAACAGAGGAATACTGAGATCAGAGAGCCCCTCTGTCTTTAGTGTGGTGGGTGTTTAAAGGACAGGGAAGGAGCTGATTAGGGTGAGGGCAGTGGGCATGGAAGAGATGCTGAGGGGACAGTTTTGCAGGGTATGGCTCTAGCTTGGGTGGTGCAGGAATGAAGGCCTCTCCCTATCTCTCTGCCTTCTTGCCTCCTGTTGTATTCCTGTACTCCAACTTCAAGAGTGTAAAGGGGGGAAATGGTTGGGTTCCTTTTCATCAACCTGTATTAGCCTCTTCAAAAAGACAGATTTATTTTTGCTACTAGCCAGGCATAGTGGCACATGTCTGTAACCCCAGCACTCAGGAGCCCGAGGCTGGAAGATTGCTGCAAGTTCAAGGCCAGCCAGAGCCACATAGAGAGTTCGAGGCTAGCCTGAACTACACAGTGAGACAGTGTCTCCAAAAAATAAAATAAAATGAAGCAGGAAAAGGCCATCTTTACAAGTTGTGCAGATGAATAAAAGCCTTTCGTGTTTTTCATTTGGGGAAAGTATACCTTCTGTAGGCACATACCTGTTTTGAGCATATCTGTAGGGATAGCTTGTACAAAGAAGAGACAGACCCCCTGCTCTCTGGGCATTCAGATAGGCATGCGACATGGGTACTGTCATTGAGCCTTGCACAAGCTCTGTGTGCAGGAAGAGCTGTCCCCACTCTGTAGACAAGGACACCATCACTGAAGGAGATAAAGTAACTTTCTCAGTGCCATTGTGCCACTGAGGCATGGTGGCCCTGAGAATTCCAATCTCATCTGAGCCTACGAGGATGGGTCTCTCCTTGCTGTCACACGGAAGCTGCCTGCAGGATTCCATCTGCTACACAGCATGTCATACACCTGTCCAGTATAATACTTAGCAGAGAGGACAAGAGAAAATCCTGATCATTTTCTTTCCAGAACCCAAGATGATGCCCCTTGCCTCTGAACATATAAACAGAACTACAGTTAAGAAACTCAGATTCTTTCTCCAACTAGCAACACAACTTGGCTATCCTTCTCTGCATCTACCTGTCTTCTTCCTCTCTTTGTTCAGAAAAATAAACAACTTCTTTTCCCCAGGCTAAGCCCTCCGCCTATGATCCTACCTCATTCATTTCACCTCCCTCTGTGTTTCATCACCACTCATGCCCTCAGTCTCTTCTCCTCCTCTTTACTCTTGAAACAAGTCTGCCCATTTCATTATTTCACTAGGATCTATCTCTCCTTTCTTTTCAAGCTAAACTTGTAAGAGTTGGCTGCTTTTGTCCGCTCCTCACCACCCATTCAGTACCCATTCCCTTGTGATCCTTCAGTAGGTTGCAGAAATGCATCCAAAGATCATTAGCACACTGATCTTGGCTGGCTGCTAACATTAAGTCAAAACTGGTAAGAGACACACACACGTGGCCTCAAACCATTGTGGGGAATCTCCACATACTGGGCACTGCTAGCTACCTACCTGTGTTATCTCATGCAATACCTGCAACAACCAAATATGAAGGCTACTAATAACTCCACTTTTCAGGTTAAAAAAAAAAAAACCTGGCCAGGGATTTAGCTCAGTGGTTCCACCACCTGCCTCACAAGTGCAAGGTCCCAAGTTTGATCCCCAGTACCAAAAATAAATAAAAATTAAAAACCTGAGGATCAGAGAAGTTAAATAATGAGAAATGATATATTGAAGAAGGGAACTTACAACTGACATTGTAAATATAGAAGCAACAGACATAGTCTAAGTTTTTTAGAGAGAACAGTACCAGGACCATGGGACAGAAGATACATGGCAGCAGATTTCAGCTTACCATAAGAAAGAATTTCCTGAGTGTAGGTGTCAGAATTAATTAATTTGAGGCAATATAAATGATGTAAGTGTCTCCTTTCTGCAGTCAGATATTTACGTTTGAATCCTAGTTTCACCATTACTGACTCTGGGTCTTTCTACCAAGGATGTAACAGCTCAAGCCTGACTGCATATCTGTAAAATGGAAGTGAGTGATGGTATATATTTCATAAGTGCAGGGATGAAATAAGATGATACAACGCACAGCATGAAGCATTGTGCTTGCCCAAAGTGACCTCTCAATAGAACTAGGGATAGAAAAGACAAGCACAGAGGTGTGCGAGCTCCCCATTACTTGAGTGTTCGTGTAGGAGTAGTTGGGGTGATACAAAGATTCTTGTACTGAGGAAGCCTCATGCATCTGTGATTCTGTGTCTAGAACCCATCAAACCCGGAGCTGGATGGCTAAGCCTTCCAACATGGTGTCTGAGGCTCCTTGTGAGTGTGAGTGCTGGGGTGGGAACAAGAGGGGCAGTGGGAGCTCAGCTTCCACCCTTAGCACTCTTCCCAACTCTTACACTGCAGCCCCGTGGCATCTCCTTTCTCAGCTACAGAACCAGAAGAAATTTCAAGGAGGTCACCTCACCTGGAAGAGAGGGGAGGACGCTAACTCCTCCCACCTTCCCCTACAAACAGAAGGGCTGTGGGAATAGCACTGGTGTCAGAGGTTTCTCTTCCTCTGTGTTCTCTGCTGTCACCATGCTCTGCCTTCCCTATGTCTGGCTCAGTGCCCCAGAACCGTTTCCCTCTGCCCACCTTCCCTCAATCTCATTAGTTTGGTTTCCTGGGGAAATCACTTTCTCTAAAGGCAGATGCTTCTCTACTTATGATGAAATTACTTCTCTATGAACCCATCATAACTTGAAATTATTGTAAGTAAAAGTTGCCTTCAACCCACCTAGCCTGTTGAACACCACAGTTAGCCTATTCTAAACATGCACAGAACACCTCATAGGTGAAAAACAGAATGGTTGTATGAGTACACTTTCGCACCATTGTAAAGTTGAAAAATCATAATTGGGATCATGGTGAAGTGGAGAAGTATCTGTGTGTTTCCCCCAGGTTCCCTCCTATCAGAGTTGTTGGCCCCTCAGCAGAAGTGGAGGTTCTCTTCTGCTAGTCACAGAAACTGTATGCCTACACTCCCTGAGAACCCAGGCTTTCATAATTCTGGCCTGAGTTTTTTTAAAAAATGATGTATTTTAAACTTGCTGTGTTCTGCCACATTTGCATTCTGCTGGACTGAACCAGAAGAAGGAACGAGTTCAGAGATATTGTTGACTAAATAGCATTTGAAGGCAGAGGAGGAAGTTGAGGAGGCAGGCTGGGCTGTGCCCATCCTCCAAAAACCAGCCCCACAGACTGTACCAAGACTGTGGCCGCATGTTGTCATGGTCACATGTTATACTGTACCTTGTTGCCTTGGGACACAAACAGAGTGTTCAGTGCCTGGTAACAATGAGGAAATGTTTTTTAAAACTAACAGGAAGGTTCCAGAATGGCACATGGAGTGAGTAGAGAGGAGCACAGTTTTTGCATATTTCTTTGAACTCTGTAAGATAGGTTTAGGGTTGCAACTTTGAGGTTAATTAGAATTGCAAAGAGAGGCTTGGATGTACATTTATACCTCTGTGTTTGCCTAAAAACTCACAGTATAAACAAGTAAAGGTGTTATCTCCCAGCCTATTTGAATTTTCTTGTTGCTCAGAACAAACATATGCAAGCAGTTATGAAAAGTCTTCAGAGGATTTCAGCACCAACTGGGGAATTCGCGTCCTTCCCTAAGAGGAAAGCATGGCCTATCTTCAGACAGGTGAGCAGGGACCCTTCTGTGGGTTTCCATGGGCAGCAGAAGCTCCTTTCCCTGAGTATATGTGGGACAGCTATGTGTGAAGTCACTCAGACCACACACTGCCCTAGCTGAGAAGGGACGGGGCGATGATTGTACACAATGCTAGCCCACCCTATTCTTCTGTTTGCCCAATATGAAAAATCTCCAGCCTAAAAATGTAGCTCCCCATTGATCCACACTTATATCTCCCCAACCAGGAAGACTCCAGTGCTCTTATCATCTCGTAGAACTCTATTCATTGGGTTGTTGTGTTCTATTCTT